TATGAGTCGGGGCCGACTCGACGGCACATAACAACAACAACAACAACAAAGTATTTAGACTTCCTTAGACTTTGTTATTAAGTAAATTCTGTCTTCTAGATTTTATTCTATCTACAGATCATGTTAAACTGATATTAATAACAGATCTTCATAGTGAGAGAGGTTCCTATTCGGATTAATTGTCATTGATTTTAAATTTTAATAAAGTGCTATTAATTGCAGTTTACCACAAAGTGATTTCTTATTAAAGCTGCTCATTTTTTGTTTCATGTTTGAAAAAGCCTGTGATTGGAGAGATTCTTAGCTAAGACTAAGTGCAAACTCCAGCAATACTATGTGTTTTCCATTTCTTTAGTATGGATTCTTTTTTGCTGCATTATACTGTTTTCCCTTTTCTTGCTTGACTCTAGCCTTAAAAATCTCTGGGTATGTCTTTTATAACTTCAGGTTCTAGGGAATATAGCTTATGTTTTATGCAGATTTGTGCCTGGAACACTAAAAACACCTGTCTCACTCACTGCCGTCAAGTTGGATCTGACTCATAGCTACCCCTCCTTGGGTTTCCAAGGTGGTATCACTATGGAGTTAGATCACCCAACTTCCTTCCAAGGACTGGCTGGTGGGTTTGAACCAAAAGCCTTCTGGTTAGCGGTCATATGCCTTAGGCACTGTGCCACCAGAGCTCCCAAAGTAAGTTATGAAATTCCTGTTGAGCTTATGGCAAGTACACAGAATTATCCTTTTGTTTCACAAAAAGTTCTTTCAACAAGCTTTATTTTCAATGGTGGATGAGTTGAAATGGAGCCTATTCCATGGTAGGATGAAAAAGAATTAGGATTTGATGATAGGAATGTGAATCCTATCAGTTAAAAAAATACAAACTTTTATATTAGATCCTTCATTTTAATATGCATTTTGAAACACATGGTAACTAGAGAATATTTTATGAATACCTTTGTTAAATTTAAAATACATTTCTAAAAATTAAATATTTAGGCAGCCTTTAATTCAGTGGTATGACGCATTATAAAATAAAAATTTAAAGAAAAAAAACTTTAATAAAAAGCATCAGAAGTTGCTGCACATAAAGATTTATGTAGGTTTCCTTAGTGTTACTGGAATTTTTTTTTAAGTTTTAGCTTCAATTATATGCAATAAAAACGTATCATATCCAATAAACAAATATTAAAACATTGGAAACAGACACATTCTAACACCTGCAGTTGAATGACTTTGATTCTGATGATATGTTGCAGAATGTTATTGTTGTGATATGGAGGAATATTTCGATTTCTTTTTTTAATTGCAGATAACCTACGGAATGTTAAGAACTGAGTGTTTTCAAACTTTTTTGACTGCTACCCACAGCAAGAAATTTATTTTTACTCATACCCCACTATATGCACAACCCATACTCCTACACTGAAGTTTTATGAAATAGTACTTACCTATGCTACCTATGTGGAGCTCTGACGGTACAGTGGTTAAAACGCTTGGCTGCTAACCAAAATGTTAATGGTGTGAACCCTACCAGATGCTCCGTGAAAGGAAGATGTGGCAGTCTGGTTCCATAAAGATTATAGCCTTGGAAATCCTACAAGGCAGTTCTACTCTATCTTATAGGATCGCTATGAGTTGGAACTG